TGCCAAGTCAGTGTAGTGTGACCTCCAATCAAAGAAAGATCACAGTGAAGACTCTGAAGGAAGAGCAGCTTGGTTGCTGATTGGCTAATGGTTACACAAGCCAAAACATCGTTATGACATCATAAAGTGGGTAAAATTTGATCAGCTCATTTTCAGACAGGTTTTTATAGAAATGGATCAGGACAAAAAGAGGGAGAATCTTTGTTCCTGAAACTTTCAGAGTCTCTTTCCACAGAGGGGACACATGTTGATCTACTGTATAAAAGACGTGGATTTTGCATAACAGGTGCCCTTTAAAGTCAAAATGTACAAACCTTCTTGTGTTCAGAAGTGGAGATCTCTGCGCTCAGCTCAGAAAAGTCACCCAGGCCGAGCTCCACATGTTTCCCTCCTTCCTTCTTGGGAGCCGACAGCATCTCCAGCAAGCTGTCCGCTTCTGTTGCGTCTCCTGCAGGTGCCATGGCCGTCTCTAAACCTCCCGACGACTCTATGGCCTCCACTTTCTCTCCTTCAATCGCATCTCCGTGTATACCAAACTGGGTTGGGTCGGGCATGTTCCCGAGGATGTCCGTCACCTTTATGTTCTTAGCCCCCTCAACCAGGCCACCACCAAACATGGAGGACCAGATGACGTGGAAGAACCCGAAGATGAGTCCGTAGATTCCCTTGAAGAAGCCGGTGAAGAGCATCCAGAAGAAGGAGAAGAAGCCGGTGATGCTCTCCTTGATGCTCAGCTTCTTGATTTTCTTGAACTGCTTGGAGAAGTTTTTAATGGATAATGTTTGACGTACGTTGGAGATCTTCCTCTTGACCGAGCGGCACGCGGTGGTGAAGGCTGAGGCAGACTCCAGGGCGCCCTCTTCCTCTCCACCCAGCTCGTCCAGGAGGCTGTGTGCATCGTCCTCTTCCTCCTCCTCCGGTTGTTCCACCACATCCGGCTCGGAGATCTGCGAGGCCAGCTGCATCTCAAAAATTGTGTCCTCACAGAAATTGACAAACATCTCCATCTTCTCGCTCTCCGTGCCCTCGTTGACCACGTCAAAGATGAACTGACGCTTGGACTCTTTGACCTGCGGCTTCTCCCACTGCTCGCGGCTCGACTCGCTGATCTCGAAGTAAACCCTCTCGATCCGCTTTGCGCTGCCCATGATTTCAATACGACCCAGGTAGGGCTCGAAGTAGCTGAGTACGCTCCCCGCCAGGTCTAAGAAGGTGGCGAGTCTGGAGTCGTGCGGCATGTGTTCCGACAGGTTGGTCAGCAGCACCGCCACGTTGAAGCCGATATCTTTGGCCGGCTCGTGGAAACGCTCCACAAAGTCAATGTAGTTGAACATGTCATTCTCGTCGGCCTCCGCGCACGAGAGCAGGAACTCAATCTCCGTCTGGCTGTACTGCATCTGGGACTCCATTGACTTCTGGAACTCCTTCTTTGAAATAATGCCCTTGAACTCTGGGTCGTTCTCTTTGAAGGTGTCGGAGGACGTCAGGTCCTTCAGTTTGAGGAACATGTCGAAGAACTTGAGGATCATCTCCACGTTACTGGAAGACTCCACCAGGGTGTCCACCATCTGCTTTCCAATCATTCCATTCACCACGTTACCTAATTCACACAAAGACAATGCATTATGTTCTGTAAAATACAATGCAGGCTTTTACTAGAACTGTGAGTTGTTTTACAAATATTTTGAGATGTTCAATCAAAAGAGTTGAATTGTATTGTAATGTCTTTGTCAGCAGCTCCTGGCTCTTACCCTCTAGCAGAGACAGCAACATGACCACCATATCCTTCTGTAAATCCATCAGCTCCTTCAACAGCTCAGTCTGACTGGCGTCCTACAAGGAGATTATAGTTGTTCTGTTAAAGCTTTGAGCTGATGGAGTTTTCCCCAAACAAAACAAGGTTGTTCGGATCGTTAATATTTACCCTTCAGCAATGCATTATTAATGGTTTAGTGCTATAGGCTTTAACACCACCATGTGTGAAGTAAACCATGACTACCAAGGTTATTTAAAACAGTATAAACAAGGGATACATATTTCACTTTTAACACACATTGTGTTTCAATCTTTGTGGATATTTATGTAATGAACTTTAGGACGTTAGCATTGCATCGCTGCATGTTAAATGTTGTTATTATTTAAAACAAGATGCTTTACAAGTAGAATAATCCCAAGGTTTATTGTACCTGAGAAAGCTTCATTTGCATGTTGGCAAAAACATGCAAGAAGCCCACAACTGCGTCCCACAATCTGCTGTGAGCTAAACTCTGCTGGTTCCCAATACACGGGCCCTGAAGGAGAGAGGAGAGAAAATACACATCAGGAAATATTGGATGAAAGTAATTCATTCTTCACATTGTGGATTTAACAATGTTGAAACCTACCTGAATGTACTCAGTCAGTGAGTTGAATATCTGTTTGGCAACAGATAAAGCTTTGGAGAAGTTTAGTCTTCCTGTCTCATCCATGACATCTTTGCCAGAGTAGTACCAGTAGAAGTCACTGATCGATTCCTAAAAGCAAGATCACATTGGTACACAATAAGTAAGTAATGGCAAGAACATATGTTGTGCCTTTAGATTTGTGTTGAACACACCTGAAGACGGAGCAGATAGTCAACGGTGCTGATGATGATGTTGACCGTGGTTGTGTTTCCAGTTTGTGTTCTCAGGAAATTCTGGAAATCTGACAGAAAGATATATTTTCTCATCCATGTCCCTCCCTATCTTTTGCACTACCATGCCCTTGTGGCTAATGCGAAATGTTGTTGTTCAAACAAAATGACGTTTAACTTTTCAATGAAGAATTATATTAAACCTCACCTCCATTGTGGCCCTCACAAAGAAGTTGCAAAAACCGGAACAGATCTTTAGTAAACTCATCATTTTGTAGCACTTTGGAACCTTAGAGGGAAAAGACATCTTAGTGAATACAACAACGACCCTGTGCAAATGAACTAAGGTGATTATTTACTCAACATGGAGTCTGATTATAATTCAAACACCCCTTTGAAGCAATTAACATGAGGCAAGCAAGTCAGGTTTCATGTTGGACGTTCAGGGCCTTTAGATTGCAGGTTCAAAACTGAATCCAAAGTGATTTTAATTGAAACAACAACGAAATGCTAGGACATTTCCATAAGCTGTAGGAAGCCTGATAACTTTCACATGTAGGCGTGGATTGAGCCCTGAAATAAACGGCAGGCAAACACGGTTATATACCTCACTTTAAAAAAACAAAACGGGTAATCCAGTTAAAATAGCTAAACGAAATGAGCACAAATACATTTCTGGAAGCAGATAAAACCATGTGAAAGTCAGACGTCTGTATGGAAACCAGTTTTGTGAAAATCCAAAGCAAGACAAAGCTTTGCTTAGGTTGCGGAAGAGTCCACAGACCTTTCAGTCAAACCCTTGAGAGGTGGCACTGATAGCCTTGGAACAACAGATTTGAGCATCAGCAATAGGATTTGCGTTAGTAAATGTTAACATGAAGGGAATGGGAACAAATAACAAACAGACGATGAATTGTTGAAGATCCACCGTGTGCATGCACAGTTTGTCCGTACAGACATCTGGGTGGGGGAGGCTGGGCACCAAATAAAGCAGGAGTATGGACCACAGACGAGACATTCAGAGTGGAAGCATAGCCATATCAGCATGATCTAGGTTTGCTATTTACCCCGATGATTGTTGACTGCCGTCGATGTTTTTTTTAAATGACAGGAAGGAGACAAACAATACACCAAGACATAATCAAAAAGAGAGGACATCCGAGTTACAATACAAAGAATTATGAATATTTTGGCTACGAGTGAAAAACGAAGTCATGCAGTTAAAAATAATAGTTTTAGACGGGGAGCAGGGGAAATGATAGGCCTGGGTTGTGTCTGGGTTATAGTTTGCTAGATGATTACAAAATGAGAATTCAGTCATGGTGAGAAATCCATTAAAGTTACAGAGACACGAGTAGTAGCAGTGAATTGTTAAACACAGAACTCGGTGGAAATGTTTAGGACTGAATGATGAAAAGACGGACATAGTTGATGTGGAAGCTTTAAGTGACTGTGTTGAGAGTTGGAGAGAGATTTGCTTTAATGCTGGACCATGTCCTAAAAGCAGGTTTGTAGTTTTAACCACTCACAGAACCCCTGCTCTGAAATACAAGACAGGATAAATGACTACCTTAATATCTTAAAAACTTAAATCCATGCTACATATAAGACAGTCCTAGAATACATTGACAACTCACACCTTCTATTTTCTACCTCAGAAGACGACGTAAAAGACAACACACCGACGACTTCACTGACTGTAGCGCAAGCAGCAAACTCTCTGATTAATCAAAATCACATTGATAGCAATGCAATTTTGATTATTCATCATACATAAATACAGGGTGTATGCAGGAATCCTGAAGTCAGATGTAAGACCCTTTTTAAGACCCTTTCCATACATTTTAAAACCTCATCGCCACTTGGAGTTTTAACCGGTTACCTTGGCGACACACTTTACCTCACATTGACTATATACAGTATTGATTGTCCTTCCTCCTTATCTTCCAACCATTTGGACGCAGACTTGCATTTCCCCATAACGATGTTGTTTAACAACCGGCGTAAACGGACCTTCGCACGCTATCAAGCAGTGAGCGTGCGATGTCCTGTTCAGATGACGTCAGATCCAACGGGATGCCATAAATAAACTACACAGAATCACACTACACACCTACGCAATGATTACATTCAGGCAGACTGTAGAATACAACCTCTTTGGACAATTTATATACTTATTGAAAACAAGCTACAAAATGTAATACCTTGGGAAATGCCGTTTTGAAGACCCCGCGGACACCCTGAAATAACTACTTATTAGGAACTAGCATTGATTAACAGCTTTAATAGGACACCAAGGATATCCAGTTGTCATGGTTCAGCATTAGAAGGGGAAGAGGAAAGGATAGGGTCTTTTGTTTCCTATTCGAAAGTAAAGGTTTTCTTTAACAGTAAGGATCTACTGGTCTTTAATCAAACATGTGATGCTCAGAAGACTAATGAACGGGTTTAATCAAACAGCTAACTTTATAAGACTTCCTCAACTTACTTGAACCTTCTTCTGACACCATGCCAAGTCCTTCTGCTTTGTTCTGCCTCTCAAATGCATTCAAGTCCAAGACACTAAGGAAAGTAAACAAACAAGTGATATAGAAGTACTTGATGTCTGCACAGAAATTCCTTTTTGTGGTACAGATAATATAACAGCACCTGCAAGACTGCATCAGTCCTGAGAGACCCTTGAAAAAGCCTGCATCTCTTTTCTCTTTCAGGTAATCCAGCATTTTCTGGAAAAAGAGATTAAATGCATTAACCATTTAACTATCAAACATAATGTAATTTATGAATATGTTGTGAGTATTTACATGAATGGATGGATTGTATGATGACAGTGATACAGTTAAAAGGACAAATAGATCATTATAGTTGAATATTTGAGCTGTATAGTCTCACCTGCTGCACTTGCACATTGCCACCATTTAAAATGGAGATTCCCAGTTTGAGGGTGCAGGTCACCATGGGGCCCAAACGACCTGATGAAGAAGGAGTGACGTCAGATAAAAGAATGTCAACGACAACATTCTGAAGCAGGTTTGTCTGATAATAAACTAATCCCTGAAACAAGTCAGAACTTTTGCAAAATGAAATGTGTGTGTTTGTAATAATCCGGCAGTGGCTCAGTCAGTAGGGACTTGGACTGTGAGCCGTAGGGTCGCCGGTTCAAGTCCCCGAACAGACCTAAATATGGAGTGTGGACTGCTACTTGGAGAGGTCCCAGTTCACCTCCTGGGCCCTGCCGTGGTGCCCTTGAGCAAGGCACCGGACAACCCCCTTCCTGTAACTGACGCTCAAGTGCCCTTGTTTATTGTTCTGTATTTTTTTAAGAGTGCTTGAACTTTGTTTTATTTTGTTGAAATTATAAGAGTTCACTTTCCGGAAGTCATGTGACCTTTAGCCCCGGATGTTTTATATCGTGTTTGTGAGAGCCCAGTAAAAAGGGGCGCTAACAGTGTCAACGATGTAATAACATAATGTTCTACTGCTGCCTGGTCTACTAGGCGAACACGTTTTCACGGTGTTTCATAATTGTACTAAGAAGAAAATAAACGTGGATTGTGGAAATCAGTTCGATGCCGTAATGTTCTTTCAAGACCAGAGTAGTTACACTTCCCCCCCACCTCCACTCCCATTGCTCCATCCGGGGCGCCGTTTCAATATAGCTTGCCCACTGCTCCTAGTTACTAGACTGGTACTAGGATGGTGTTAAAAAGCAGAGGGCCAAAAATGTCACCTGTGGTTCTCTTGAGGCCTGTGTGATCATTAAAAGAGGGTTTTTATTCCCTCCGATTCCCGATTCTAATAACAAGGTTACATTTAAAAAAGGTATCAAAACACACTTTTGATTGGATTGTATTTAACCTGTTATTTGAAGTTGAATTTTTAAGTTTTTTAGGGTGACATTCTTCAACATCCTGTCCAGGGACCACTAGACGAAAAATAGCCCTGTTGGGGCATAACTGGTCTGCGCATTTACAGAAATGTCAATTCAATGTTGCACTGTCCCTTAGTCAAATACAGTATATATATAATAAAGTAAATAATAGCTGCTTAGGAGTTTAGCCAGTAAATGGTGTCTAATAAGTATTCATTTTGATTTGTCCCCTATATTTCATTCAGCACTGTAAAAACATGCCATTATGCATTTTGCGACCTCGATGGAAGGCGGTCCCAATGTCATTTTGAGAATACCTCAAAAGAGATCAAGACGTATTATCACCAAGGTGCAACCTCAGAACATTATGGCGCAGCAACATTAAAATGTTAAACTAATATCGAAAAAGAAAGGGCTTCAAGTCGGTGGGTTGGAACAGTCAACCGAAAAAGCTGCCGTCTTCAGTGGAAATAAGCTTTTTAAAGTAACAGAATCATGTTTTCTTTTAATGCTGCCGGCAGAATGTATTGAAGCACAGGAACGTTGAGCCGTTTTATGATCTGTAATACCTTTTACTGGCGCTCGATCATCTGCTCAGCACACATTGATCTTGCGGCGCCCGCGGGCAGCAGTGTCAGCCTCTCATTCTGCTGATACAGGAATCTTCTGCATATCTACCAATCTCTTTCTCCTG